GAACAGTCCTACTCTTAACAGTATTCAATGCCTTTTCCTGTGCTTGATGCCATTCTCTGCACCTTCTCTAGTGCTACTATGTCCAGGATGGGGGAACCAAATGGCACGCAGCAGTCTCTCTGTGATGGATTCAGATAGTGCTGCAACACCAGTTTCTGCTTTGTTTTCTGTCACAACTACCCCTCATCACAAACCTATTTTCCTTCAAAGGAGCATCTGCTCAAGTACCAAAGGCCAGGTGGGAACTAGTCAATAGAAACCAGCAAACCAATGGCTAGTGTGGAGGTACCACTGACTCTGAACCAAAACAAGCACGCTCTGGCTGAGGGGTATCTCCCTTTCTGTTCTTTACCCATGTGCAAGCTCTGAGCCACCTCCATGGCAGGGAGGCAAGAAGGGGAGGAAGAACAATGTAAACACAGAGACTTCTTGCTCAGCCAACCTGCAACAATAGGCTGAACTTAGGGGGAAGGTCAGGAGCTTTAATTCAGCTCTTTCAAGAATACAAATATCCTGTTTCTAGGCCTGCCAATGGAGGGCTCGGGGCAGGGAACCTGGCACCCAGACAAGAAGAAGGTGGTTCTAATTCACTCAGAATGAAGCACCTGGGAGTTGATGGAGAGCTGGAAAGTGAGCTTTACCTGCTCAGAGGAGATTCAAGCTTTTCCACAAAGAACTTTAATGCAAACAATAATAATAAAAAAAAATACAATTCCTCATGTCATTTGCCATTTTGAATAATATTCAAATCAGTGTTCACCCACACTTAACCTCTTACAAAGGCAATCCTACTGGCCTTTTGGAATGACATATCTAAAATTATGAATGCCAAGTTCTTTTTGGAGTCATTCTGGACAATATGATCTGAAGCACTGAATCCCTTTCTAACATCTCTCCTGAAATACATTGCTCTGAAATACACTGCTCCTTCCATAAGGAATCCTTTGGCAAGGCTTACCTGGCAAAACTGTGTATTAGTGAAGAAGAGGTGTTTTAGGAAGTCAGTGACCTGTAGATAGAGTCTCTGGTGATCCTCTGGATTTTCAGAAGAGCAGATTGCAAATGCTGAACTGAAAATGGAACCAGATACTGTATTTAATTTTCTGTTCTGGTCTCCTTACCTTCTCTCCTCCATATTTCACTTATAAATAAAAAATATTAAAATTGTTTTCAAGATGGTTTTGATATTAAAGAAAATAGCCAAGCAAGACAGAGAGGAGTTGTGATAGATGCATTGATGAGATACTGTTTGCCAAGCGCAAGGCAGATTTGTAAGAACAGAGAACAGAAATACAAGAAATGGGTGTCACAATAAGGAGATCTGCTGATACATTACAGCATAGTAACACTGGTTTGGGGGAAAGTAAATATCCATTTAAAACAGACAGCAACAATGGTCATTTGGGAGTGTATTTGGTAGGGTTGTTCAGAGGAACAGCTTTAAATTCTGTGAAGTTTTTGAGTGAATACACTAACCTGTATTTAAACCAGGTCATGAAATGACATGTTAGCTATAACTGGCAGATGTGTGCTCAGATAACTGTGGCACAAAGCTAAGCTTTTCATTCTGGACCTCACCTCTGTATTCTTCCTGGGATTTTACAAAGTTCTGCCATCATACCTCTGTCCAGAATTACAAGGTGCAGAACAACAGGCAAGAAAGAGAAAACAATAAATGTTGACTATTGAAATACCAAACTGATTTGGGACCTAAAACAGATTTTAAAGATTCTAGTAATACTTTGCAGTATTAAGGAATACTTAATCTTATTTTAAAAGCAAATGGGAAATGTGACCTAATAAATGTTATTTAATAAATAAATAATTGTTAGTCTTTTTCTTCAATTCAAGTATATTTTGATCATCAGGCAAAACAACCTTATTTTAATTTATTCCTTTCTGGAAGTGCAACCTGGAATGGTGGTGAAAGGAAGATAAAAGATCACTCTAAATGTTGAGAAATAAGTAGAAAATGGGATTAAAACCCCATAGATTAAAAACACTATTTGCAAAGGAAAACAATCTTAACAAAGACTAAGGAGAAAGAATACATAAATGATGAATCATGTGATTTTCCTCTTGAGGAAAACAATGCTTTTCTTTCTTTGGTCTACTGGAAAAAATCAAAGGCAGTGCCAGTTTTGTATCTGACATGTTCTCTTCTAGGTTACTCATCTGAACTGAAGAGGAAAGAGATGTTATTATTAAAAAGGTCCTGTGTTTCTCTAATGTTACTGTTCAGGTCAAACACACTTTAACCTGATCACCTCCATGTGACTGAATTATGGTAAAACAAGGGAGAAAATGTTGAAAAATTATTGGTTTTGTTTCATTAAATGAGAGTATGGCTTATGATTAGCTGATTTATTAGGGAATGCTTCTTGGTCACAGGCCTGAAAAGTGAGAGAGAAAAAGACAACATGGCAAGTATTGTAAATTGAAAAAACAGAAAGCTGTGCAGAGTGGCAAAGAAAATCAGAAGGACCCCAGTTATCCTGAAGTGATGGGGCTCTTAGTAAGTGATTCTTACTGAATCTGCTATAAATGACCATTAATTGTTTCACTTTTTCCCCTTAAAGGGAAGTATTATTGTGAACACAGTTGCTGGAGGCTGCTATTCTGACCATTTATTAAAAAAGAGAGCTGTTGTCTTACACCACAGAGCACTTGCCATGGACTGCTGACAGTGGGCTATGAATGTACTGTGTCTACCAAAAGGGAGAGTCTGTAATTTACCTCTGGCTGGACATTCCCTGAGCCTTGCTTCTGTCAAGGAAACCAGCAGCAACATCAAATGCATCTTCAAACATCACCTAGCAGAGAAATCACTTCAGATGTCAGCATATCCAGCCACCTAAAAAGTTTTACCTAGGGCATAACTTTTAATAATGAAATCTTTAAAAGCATGATATTCTTTCTTTACATTTAACAGGTATGCTTACAACTAGAGTAAGTCAAGAGATTTTGTGGAGACAGGAATAATGTGGAATAACTGTATTTCATGGCTAGGAACAAAAGGTCAATCCACTCCCTTAAGCCTGTGCTTCAACCTCTAGGAATTAGACTTCATATTACATCTCCCAAAAAATCAGTAAAAACCATGGATTGTATCCGTGCTTTAGAGACTTGACTGTGGACTGCTGCTTATGGCTGGAGATCTCAGCTGTATCAGCCAGTCTCTCCAAAACTGACTCCAATTAGACAAAGGAGTTTGGATGCTCCTTGTGCCAGACCACTAAACTCATTAGTTCACACTGCCATAATGCAATTCACACACTTTCTGTGCCAGAAATACTGTACAGGGAACATTCCCACAACATTCCTAAGGCAATGAGCAATATTTGACTTGTGTCCTGTGACTCAAAAAGGACGTGCCAATGCCATTTATTTCTATGCTAAAGGTAAACATCTGTCCCTTCCTTGCAGCTAATGAAATTACACATACCTCTTCAAGCAGCTAGTTACTTCAGCAATCAGTGCTCCAGGAACCATTGATAGAACTGGCTGTTATTTACTCAATCTCTTATTAATAAACTCCCATGTCTACTCAGTCACTGACTTCTTGGCTCTGTAGAGGTGCACGGTACAGGCAGTCATTGGCCCTGTACCACTGGGACTGGTCTAAAAATACTTTCTATTTGCTACCAAGTGCTTTGATTAAAAAAACCCCACCCAACCGAAAACACAGCAGGATTTAGCAAATTAGGCATCCCTTCTGGATTTAGATCATCTATGCTCTTTGGAGAGTCTGCAGAGCACAGTAACTGTATAATTCTTGATCTTGCTCCCTGTCCCTGGAGCAAGGTAGGAGCAAATTTAACTGTTACTTAGCACAGCAACTCCACAAGTCCATGGAGACTTGCAGGATTACTACTACTGCACTTCTATAGCTCACTAGGTATACCAAGAGAAAGTTTGGTGCAGATATTTACTCAAAGACTGCTTATTGTCTCCATTTACACATTCAAGTGATCTGAGAAAACGTAGTTACAACTACTGTATGTTTGCAATTAAAAGCTGCAGAGCCAATTGGCATCTGAAGACCTGGAGTTTCAGAGGCAGACTTTGAATGTTGCTGAGCACTTACTTCCTCTGGTGTGGAGACTGAGGAACCACTGGCTTCCTCACTGTTACCTCCGCTGTCCCTCACACTACCTTCAGTGCAAGCAGGCTCTGGGCAAGCAGCCTTGGGATCCATGAGGAAATCTCTCTGGCTACAGTACTGCAAGATGCTGTCCCTGCTCTCTTCATTAAGCTCTTGCCAGAGATGGGAAATAGCTGTGGAGACCTCAGGAAGAGGAACATCTCCAGTGCAAACAATTCCATGCTCTATCAGCAGGTCCACTGTGTGTTTATAAAAATACAGGTATCTGGAAGGAAAGAAAAGGGAGTATCTCTTAAGAGCAGGCTATAAGGCAGCCATCTACTGAAAATCAGCAGGACACCAGGGAGTAGCTCTGATCCATAAGTATTTCACTGACTCTGCCTCCCAGACTTCATACAATTACTGAATGATGCCCAACACTGATGATTTCACCTGCAAAAAGCAGGCTCCAGCTTCAGCCTCAGCAGGACTGCCTCACAACAGAAGCTCCAGGTTGTATGGGTTGCATGGGCAAACTTCATTCTAGAATTTAATACATTTTCAGTTACTTGCCTTTGTATCCTGAACCTTTTGCACTGCAAGTCACATTTTATGCATTTGCTGGCATCGCACTACACTTTAAAGCCCTGGCTGAGGTCATATCCTGATGCAGTAGGTACTGTACATACAGAAAGAAAGACTCTACCCCAAGTCTGGATGCTCTGACTTATGCATGGGAGCTCCATTTCCTCCATTTTACATCTAAGGAAACACATCCCTAACACTAACTTCTATGCAGTCTGTAGTGAAACTGGTGGTGGAACACAGGGGTCATAACTTCTACCCAGTGACTAAATCTCAGATCAAGCCTGCTTCTTCTGTTAGCACTGTGTGGCATAGTGAACCAAGGATAATGTCTACTTCAGAAAGCAGCACTGAAGGTTATTTTACACTAATTAAATGCTTAGAGAGTCTCAGATGAAAAGAAAAAGATCAAAGGAGTATAAACCAAGAGCTCTATAAACAGCAGTCATTGATACTATGTTTAGGCTTAAAATGATTCCTTGGAAGATGTCCCAAATAAGCATATTTCCTGATTAACTGAACAGTATTGTATGAGAAAGTAACTCAAAAAATTCTTTTTTATTTGTTCCAGAAAATCAATATTAAAAAATATAATTTTGTAGGCAAACATAAACCTGTTTAAACCCAAGTTTCCACACTCCGGAGTATTTTCCACCACTGCTGGAGACAAAATAGCAGAAGGGGAATAAGCATTCTCATGTAAGCTAGTGCACTCACTAAGTTTTCTGGATGTCCAGCTCCCAACAAAGGACCTGGAAGTTCTCAAGCAGAAGAACAGAAACCACCATTAGATTGCTCTGCTAAAGAAATTAAACTTGAAGCACAAGTCAACTATTTCCTTCCCAGCTGGAAGGAGACAACCACATTTTGCACTGGACAGAGTACTGTGAAGTCCTACCAATGTGTCTCCTGCTGCTGAATGTGGGAATAAAACCCAGTCAGTTGAAGCTCAAAGCATTTCTGATGCTTCCCAAATAATGTGATTACATGATCACCAAAAGGTTGTTGCTTTCTTTGCTGAAGAGTCTTTATCGTTTTATGCCTGTTATAAAAGGTAATTTTTTGACAAGAATTAGCTATAAACCAAATGCAATCTGCCCTAGGGCTACGGGATAAGTGTCAGAGTCTACACAGTGCAGGTCCTGGTCTACCTGGCCAGTAAAGAACATTAAAGTCAGGTGTTTATGGCTCTGTCGTGCAGTCTTTGATGAAGCAGATTTTTCTAATCCTGAAAATATTGATTCAGCACATTTCAAGGTCTTCTAAACGATACCTTAACTACAGCTACCTCCAATTCTAACAGGAGCTAAAGCATGAGCAGGAGTGGGAAGCTGGTGCCATCTGCTGGTCCAGCTGCAGTCTCCTTTTGAGGAAAAACCCTGTGATCAAAGGGATTTTTAGAAATACACAGCAGTTCAAAGAAAAAGAGAAGAAGGAACTGCAGAAGTTTTTGGTTGTGGTGGTGATAACATGGAAGAGGATGCTAGCTGTAGCTCTGGATTTTCCTGCACTGCATGTTATTAACTGTGGAATGGTTAGGGTGAAATCGACTGCTTGATGGTACAGGATAGATTACACATGCATCTATTTCTCATATCTTGGCAATCAAATAATCGTTTATCCTGTTGGAAATGCAGGATAAAACCTCTAAGTACCTCTTAGTGTTGTCTGACAGGAAGGGGAAGAACATGGAGTATAATACTTGGTTTTAGGATACCACTAACTTTGGAAAAAAACAGTAATTTTATCATATTTACATTATGACTTCCAAATAAAATACATGGACAACTGACATGATAACAGTAGTCTTTGACTTTTAGGTCCCGCACCATGCATTTAGGAGCTTAAAAGGTTTAAAGACTCACATCCACTAGCCCCAAGTGTAACATACAAGTGTCTAGGTTCCCCCCATTCCCCAGTGTTGCAATTTTGCATTGTTGCAGAATGCCTTCTGATATGTTCCAGACAACCACTATTCTGCAGGCCAGAGGCTGAGGATTATAAGTTCTTACTTGGTTGAATCCAGCCTTACTCTACTCTGATCCTACTGAAAAAGTACTCCAAGCTGTCAGGAGCTAAGGGTCTGCTTCTGGAAGGGGCAACAGTGTTCAAGCTCTCCATAACAAAGCCATTAGAGGAAGGATGAGCATCACTGTGAGGAACAGAATGTGCTTACCTCTGGTTCCTGCACCTCCTTGGAACACATACACATAGACTCTTGGCAAATTCATCTGGTGCAGCAATTCTTACCCTCCTAAATTCTAGCCCAATGGCAGGGATACAGTGGTAAAGTGTGGCAACACAGGGACTGACACACTTGAAAGAAATTTTCTTCTTTTCCTTAAGGAGTGAAAATCCTCAGGGATTTACCAAGGCATGAAAAGCTGGGGGCTGCTACAACTCTAAGAGTCTGTTCATGTGCAGGCTGCAGGGACTTAGGAAGTGATCAGCTTCATCACCAGCAGGGCCAAAGTTGCTGGCACAAGGCTTCTCTGAGGCAGACACAGGCTCCAGCAGGGCTGCATGAACAGCTGTGCCTGGATACACAGTGAAAATGCAAACAAGTTAAATCCCTGAAGCAATGTGGGGTGCACCTACCGTTCAAATTCCACTAGATCTGGGGATAAAGTGTCTGAAACCTGGGTCAATTCTGGCTTCCCATATTCTTCCAGTGTTTGTTTTTCACATTCTTGAAGCAAATACCAGATGGCAGAGTCACTTTCACTCATATCTTCTGAGGCTGATGCAGTGCTGGAAAGAACACAAGGGGAAAAAAGCCATAATAATAGCTTCTCAACTCAATTAATAATGCCCTTGTAATGGTGACTCCAGAGCCTAGGGGAATTCTTCCCAAGCCAGCTTCTTCCTCCTTTTGCTTTTCAGGCAATGAGACATCCTTGCCAGAGATCAGCTACATAGAAGGGAAAAAAAATACAAGCACTCTTTGGAAACGAGACCAACAACATGCTTAAAATGTTTGTGTACTTCATGGGATTACAGTGGTGCAGGTGAGACCTCTTTGTCCTTTCCTCATGAGGAAAAACCTCTGCTTGGAAATACAGTAACAATGACAGAGTTTCAAAGATGCTGGGATGGAAGCAAGTGCAAAATATTATCATCTTTTCTTGACTGGTATAAGCCCTTACCTCTGACTGCCGAATTGCCTCCTGACATATTCCTCCCTGACTTCCTCCAAGCTGGATGGGCTCCCATCCTCCAGACTGCAGCTCGCTGTTGTCAGCAGAAAGGTTACTGTCACATCAACAGCACTTTTGGCTTCTCTCTCACCCTCAGCCCCAAACAAGCAGAATACTGTCAACAACTGGTTCTTCACAAGCCACAGCTTTTCATTAGGCAAAAATGGTGTGAAAGAAGAAACATCTGTTTTCCCTAGAACATAACTAGCATTACTGGGAGTTTATGAACACTGAGGAACTTAGAATCAATACCTTCTTCCTAACATTGATTTTACAGAACTGATGGTGAAAACAACCTGCAAAACTCTGGGCATGCACTAGTCAAAACAGTATTTTTTTTATTATCTTATAAAGAACAAATTGCATGTGGAAAAACCCTGACATCCAGCCTGTGATTCACAAGCAGTATGGATTTTACATATATGCAAGTACATACAAGGGGAAGCTTGCCTCAAACTCCCCTCAACGAGACTCTCTGCTTGTTATCCTTTCAGTTTTGCTCAGTCAAACTATTCTTTCCACCTGTGACTCACTTGTATGGATTATCTAAGGATGTGGGTTCAGATGAGGTTGTTCATGTTAAGCACTGAGACTTCTAATTGATTCAAATTATTGGAGGTGTGAGTCACATGAATAACAGGTTTTTTTCTACCTGACAGGAATGTGGACACTTGAAGGGACAAAAAAAATATGTCCAAAGCCTCTACCCTATCAGCCCCTAGTCCTGCTTGCTGCTAGCAGAGGCAGTGGCCAGCAGCACTAAACAGAAGGCACGTTGGTGGGGGCGTGAGGCCCCGCAGCAGGAGCTGCCACAAGCGCAGGCGGTACCTGCTGGCCAGTGTGACCGAGGTGTCACAGGCTACTGTAAGAGAACAGGGCGTGAGGATGGCCTGCCAAGCTGAAAGAAAACAAAACTGTAGCATCTCTCTTAACCATTTATATCAGAGTACACTCTTAACCAGGGGCTTCAATCTCCTAACCTAGGAAATCCTTTTACCTCACACCACAGCATGCTGTTGCGCAATCTTAAGCTCTGGCAGGACTGGGTGCTGGTGACAGCATGTGAGTGGCACTGTGCCACACTGCTGCGGCCAGGAGGAGCACACAGCTCCTGCAGGCTCTGGGTGGGAGCCTAAGAATCCAGCCTGGGGACCCATGCCAGCCTCATACCTGCTGGGATGAAGATGCCAAGGGTACTCAGCCTGAATGGCCTGCTGCCACGGGGTAGCAGGAATTGCTTGTTTCCTCTCTTCACCTAGGCTGGGGAGGGGGTAGGAAAGGCTGAGTCAGAGGGGGATTTCTGAGATACGGTGCTCAGTGGATTGGCAGGCTTCTCACTGTCCCTCACTTATTGCTACAACTAAAGGCACAGCTGGTGCAATGCTTTAATGGGTGTACTTCTATCTCTAACAAATACATAAAATACATAAAAACCAAGTCCAGGCTCTTTGTCCAAGCAAATACTTGCATACAGTTACCTTTCATCTTCAGCAAAGAACACAAGGTTTGCTCCAGCTTCTGGATAGATGTCTTAGCCTTACGCAAAACCTGATACTAAACATAAGAAGAAAACAGAACTGATTGTTCTCTGCTCTAACTAGATTCATGTTTTAACATGCCTTTGTTGCTTTGCTTCTCCTTCATGTTTACCTTCAGCAATTTCCATGTCTCTGTGAAAACAACTGTGTTGCTTCACTAGCTACCCTTATACATATGAAAAGGGAAAAGAATTAATAAAAGAGTAAACTTCAATATAGAATATAAATATTTGGGTATACATTATGCAATACATACACATAACACCCAATCACACAGACATTTGCTACTTAACTCTGATCTTTTTTCATCAGCAAATGGTCTTGTTTGGATCGCTCTCTTCTTGGAGCATGTCCAGAAATACCATGCTGTGAAGTCTTGTTGGATGCCTACCAACTTAAGGCATAAGATTTTACTAATGACTTCCCATGAGACTTTTGCTAGGAGAAGCCTTTGCCATGTTCTACGTTGCTGTAACCTGGATTACAGCAGCATAAAACACAGCAAAGACTTCTCCTAGGAAAAGTCTGGGTTAACAGATTAACTTCAGTGCTGCACATCATTCCTTCATCATCTGTGCCAAGCACTCCTGAAAACATATGGCCAGTGCATTTAAACATACACATCTTCAAAATATTTCAAGATTTTTGTGCATGGTGAGACCATCGATATCTACCTTGCAGAGCTTTCATGCTGGATATTTTAGCCAGGCACCAAGCACTAAGATTACAAGCAACCTTCTGCATTAAGACTTTTTAAGATATTAAAACTTCCTTGGGTCTCAAGAGTCACCCAAGGGGCACAAGACACTATGAAAAAGCAATTCCAAGAGCTGGCATGTGAACACAGTCCCTTTAGACCAGGCAAAGGAAATAGTTGTTTAGTCTTGGCATCTGAGATCCCGCTGACTTCAGGTTAACTTGTATCTTGCTCAGAACACGGCAAACTGAACTCTTACTTCAACCTACATGAGGGCTAAGGGACTCAGCAGGCACAAGCCACATATAGTGGTATTTAGCATATTCAGGAGACAATTTCTATCCTAAACAATCATTACTCCCTCTACTTTACAAACTGGAAAACTGAAGGTAACTAATGGAACTAAACAAGTCAGTTGCAGAGTTGAGTAGATACTCTTGATGTTTACTCCTCTGCCTTGAGCATGGTAATTTCAATCTTTTTAGTACTGTTTTGAGTAAATTTCATCTTCATAATTTTGCTTAAATAGTTTCTTCATTTAGAAACCAAAAAAACAGTATTGGTGCTTGATTTTATTCCTGAACTTATTTTTCCACTGTCTTGAAGACAAAGTGCACCTCATAAAGCTAAATGAATTATTCCTTTCCCTCTAACTCCTTCAGTCCCTAAACTCACTGTTCTGATTTCAGAACAAAATACTGTGACATCAGCTTCATCATGGGATCCCTTGGTTTGTTTCCAAAATACTATAAAAGGCAAAGCCATAAAAATGCTGTAAAAAGCCAATAAGAAAAGTACAGATAAGGCACATGATAAAGTCATGACCCAGCAACTAGAAACTGGACAACTCACTTAGGCTGAGTTGGCAGCTTTAAAGAGATCCAGGACAGGTGCATACAGTGAAATTAAACACATACTGGCACCCATAAAGAAATAATTCTCAGTGATTGAGCCTAAACCTGGTTAAATTTTAACATACTCATGTATTACAATGATGCAGAGAGAAAGAGCCACTGTTCCGCACCTTTGAGGCACAGCTGTCTGACTGGGATAAAACTCTTCCCCGCAAGCTGCTGAAGAGTCTTGCCAGAGGAACCCAGTGGTGTGCCTGTGGCAAGTGCTGCTTTGCCATGCAGTGTTCTACCTCTTGCAGGCGTCTCAGGGGATTGAGACTCACTTTGGCATGTGTCTTCCTACAGTCTCCAGCTGTGCCTGTTGAAAGCTGCAATGCAACATTTGTTTATACTGAATAAATATCTAACTGAAAGGAACCTTACAGCCTGCATAGTGGATAGACAAAAAGAAAAAAAAAATCTGTCTGACAGGAGTTTATCTTTCTGTAGAAAATCATGGAGTTGGAAATATTTTCTTTGCCTGAGAGATACCTGCCTGTTAAGTACTTACTAAAACCTAATTTACCACTAACAATTAACAGCAACCCAGCTGAAGCCAGCCTCCCATCTCCTGCACCCTTCCCTACACTGATTTATGTTTCATTTCCATGGAAAACCCAGGGCTTGGCTTCACAAAGCACTAAGACTCCTCTGCTCCCACCGATGTTGCTAAATGACAGGCTTCTTTACAGCATATAGATTTTTTTTTTTCCCCCAATAAACTGTGACACATTGGTGTGGGCAACGATACCAGACATACTCTTACACGAGAGGGCCAGATCCAGGCCCAGCCGGGCCTGGTGCAGCTGCCCCGCCGGCCCGACACAGCCTGAGGCGCCCGCCTGGAAAGCCCTTCCCGGCTTTCCACTGGATTAATGCCCCCTGCCTCGCTACCGATCGCAAGCACAGCCTAGAGGTACGAGTGCCCGCCCCTGCTGCCCCTTCAGCGGTCGGAGGCACGGCGGGCCGGGGGAAGGCCGTGAGGGGCCGCGCCGGGAGCTCTGGATGGTCCGCGGGCTCCGGATCAATCCATCAATCACGGCACCCGCCCCGCCCCGCCGCGCCTCTGCCGCCCGCGCCGAGCAACACCAGCCGCACGTGGCGCCCGGCCAATCGGCACGCAGCCGGCGCGCGGCGGCGGCCAATCAGAAGGCGGGAAAAACGCGGGCTGGACGCGCCAGCAGGGTGGCAGTGGAGCAGGGACGAGGTAGGCGGGCAAGGCATCTTGGGAGTTGTAGTCCCGCTGGGCCGGGCCGGGCCATCCCCTCCCCGCCCCGCCCGTGGGCGGGCGGAGCCGGCGGCGCCGCGGGTTCCCCATGGCGGCGGCGGCGGAGCGTACGGACGAGCTGGTGCGGGAGTATCTGCTCTTCCGCGGCTTCACCGCCGCCCTGAAGCAGCTGGACGCTGAAATCAAGGCGGACCGGGAGAAGGGTTTCCGGGTGAGCGGCGGCCGCGTCCCCGTTCGCGGGGGGCGCTGGGCGCGGGTGCGCCCCGCGGAGGACGCGCTCCCCGGGCGGGCCGCGGGCGCCTCTTGGCGCTCCCGGGGCTGGGCGAGGGGAGCGGGCCGGGCGGCGGAGGGAGCCCTCGGGGCCTCCGCGCTTCCCCGCTAGAGCGGGCAGGGCTGGGCGCCGGGGCCCGGCCGGCCGCACGGGCGGGACCGCGCATCCCGGAGCCGCCCGGCCCGCCCGCCGCCGCTTAGGGACGCCCGGCAGCCTCTGGCGGGGCCTGTGGCCGCTTGAAGGCTCCGCTCCCGCTCGGCTCCAGGGCGCCGTCAGCGCAGGACTGGGCTCCATCCCCTCGCCTGCCTTCCGAGCCGGGGGCTGCAGCTCCGGCAGCCGCCCCGCGGCGCTGGCCGGCCCGGCCGGCTGCGGACCCCGCGTCCCACCTGTGACCCGCCGGCGGGTTCTGGCTTCGAGGCGAGAGGAGCGGAAGAGAGGGCAGGAAGACATTCCTTTGCCTGCATATTTTCTCCGTCATGGGATATTTATGCAGCGGCTTTACAGCTCCGCGCTTTAGTTTGTATGTCTTGGGTACCAGCTGCCTTGACTAACACGTGGAAATAGGCGCAGAATTTGCAGTTTCAGTCCATTGTGTGAGCTTTGTATTCCTGTAGCAACAGTTTCAAAGCCCTGAATGTAGTGCTTTGAACAGTCAAGATTTTTCTTTGACCAGCAATATAGGCACTACTTTTATCATTAATAAAGCATGTTGCTTTTATTTTTTAAAACATCAGCACTTTGCTGGTGACTTAATCTGAATTTTGTCCAAGAAGGATCTGCTGGGGTCACAAACTTCAGTTTTCTATATCTGTAGGAAGCCACAGAGATAAAAGTTGGGTATGTCCTAAGATACTAAATGGTGAGGGAAGAGCAAACCACATATTAAACAACCTTATTTTAATTTTGTACAGGATGCAGTTTTTTTCTTTTTCTGATGTCCGTCTTGGCCATCAGAAACCACTGAACAAAAAATCTATTCCCACACTACCATTCTGCCTTATTCATATTGCAGAAATGACTTCCAAAGAGACATAATGACAAAAAAATCCTTCTGCAAATTTTTATGCTTGCCTTGTTAGTAGATGATGTTACTAAAGATAAAGGTACTTCAAAAATTGCAATGGAGCAGAATTGACTTCCTCTTTCTCTTGGCTAAATGCAGGTAGTTTTCCTTTTAGTCTAAAAATAATATTTTTTTTTTTTGGGTGCTGCACTTGAGTTTTAAACATTTAACCACATTAATATTTTTGTTATTATCAATCGACTTTTAAAGGAGGTGGAAAGTTCTGCTTATTTGCAAAAAATCCATCAGTTAGATTCAACTAAATGTGATATTTCTGTCAAAATCTGTTTGGCTATGCTCTGTCATATTTCTTTTTCCTTCATTTACAAAGTGCTGCAGAATGGAAGAATGCTAATGCAAAATGCAGAGTGTTTCCAGGATTAGAAAATAGCTAATGTATAACGATTGTACCGTACTACTTACGCAGTTAAAGCTTCTCAGCACTAAGTTACAGAAAGTCTCGTGCCTCAAGAGCCCTCACATGACTGAAGCCTTCCCTGTTTTGCCCTCTTTAGGTGGATAAGATAGTGGACCAGCTGCAGCAGTTTGTTCAGAGCTACGATCTGGCTGCCCTGCGGGATTACTGGAGTTATCTGGACCGGCGCCTTTTCAGCCGTTTGGAAGACGTGTATCGGCCAACAGTGAACAAGCTGAAAACCAGCTTATTCCGATACTACCTTGTCCATGCTATTCAGGTAGTGTTTGATTTTTAGGCTGTTTTATAAACGTCCTGGTCTCTGAAACCAAAGCAATAAACTACCTTTGTGAGCCCCTGCCAGGCCTGCTGGATTAGGAACAAGCAGTTCATGTGTCATGATCAGCAGGGTAGTATGGAGTTTGATGCAGACTCACATGACAAGCTTGTGTGCAGGATAGGGAAACTCAGGCATTAGGGGAACATGGTTTGCTGCGTGCAAGATATTCACACTCACATAAAGACAGGTTTCCCTCAGAAAGGATGACAGTACTGCTAGCTCAGTCCTGCTCAGTTAACTTAGATACTGGCAGAGAACACAAGGTTCAAACCGGAACAAGGAAATGTGGGAGAGAAAATGAATGTCTTTTTGCTTGCTCTGAATAGGACAGAAAATAATGAGCTTAAAATGAAACAGATTTTTTCTGTTCAAACCCTGAAAAGTCAATGGAGTATGTTCTCCCCTTGATTCTTCTTGGTTCCATTCCCTGACTGAAGATCTGGGTGTTGGTGGAGTCAAAATCTAATACTTCATTCCAGAAGTGTGCATTTTCATGGTTTGTTTTGCCTTGTGCTTACCCTGAGCTGTGGCAGTCCTGTCTGAATAATGTGTCAATGAAAGCCTTTTCCAGCTATAGGTACTGTAGGTACTAAGTAATTTCAATTATACCTTGGTCCTGTGTATGAATGCTCATGCCTCATTTCAGTGCACTCTGTGCTGGTTTAACTGAAATCACTGTGTTTGGTTTCATTGGTCTCGGCCTTTGAACAGGATTGTGGTGACTAGAAAGAAGGTTGTATTAAGTGCATTTGTGAGCTTCTCCTAGTGTATGTGGGATTCTTTTGTTTCCTAGTGAATCTGTAACTTAACCACTCGCTGTGTCAGGGTGGTGAAAATAGTTGTTATTGTGTTTTTAACAAAAAGCAAATATTCCTAGACCTAATCTGGTGGCATTTACAGAAATGTGAGCCCTATTCTTCGTGCTCTGTTTCAGAATGGCCGCAATGACAAGGCGCAGGAGTTCTTCCTCAAGCAGGCCTCAGAGCTCCAGAACCAGGCAGAGTGGAAGGATTGGTTTGTCCTGCCCTTCCTCCCTGCTCCAGACTCCAACCCCACCTTTGCTACCTATTTCTCGCGCCAATGGGCAGATACGTTCATCGTGTCTCTGCACAACTTCCTGAGCGTTTTATTTCAGTGCATGCATATCCTTCTTTGCAACTAATAGTTAAATCTCCCTTGTCCTGGTGTTATACTTTCAACAGTTATGCCAAGGATATAGTACTGTGGAACTTCTTGCTTTCAGGTGATTTTTTTACAGCCAAGACTTAATGGAAAGTTGGTGTTTACCAGAGGGTGTTGGAATAGTTACTGCTCAATTATCTGATGTTATGTTGTATTCCCTGGGCAGAACAATTGTGGTTGTTGCTGATGCTGAATCATCCTGATGCTAGTCACTAGAAGTCTTGTGCACATCTTGTTCTCAAATAGTTTTACTCGTTGCTTGACATAGTACAAAAAAGTGATACAACCTTGGGTCATAATCCATAACTGTACTGGCATCTTGTGTTAGATCCTTCTTTGGGTACATTTTGTTCACAACATTGCCTAGTGACAACTCATTGTAATATAGCAGTTGATTTTTGGCAGAATAAGTTTTTAGCCCCGTGCTGCAGAGTTCTGTCTTGTTTGGTGATGGGCAGGCTTATGCTGCAGCTGGAATACAGCTCATTTGAAACTGTTTCTTCAGTGTACAGTAAAGCAGTAATAGAATCTGTCTTGCCCTCCACTTCTGACTCTAAAAAGAAATATTCTAAAAATCCTGGCTAAGTCCACATGAAATAGTTTGTGCAACACCAAAATAAAAAGTTAAGTAATTAAGCTATTGCTAATCTTCTGGTCATGCACATACTTTTTGCTAATTGTACGGACTGAGCAGCTTTGTTTGTACAGAGACATGGTCGGTATGGAGTGCTGACTTTTAGAATTAAGCCAGGTGCACACAAGTTATCACCACGATTTTCTTTAACATTACTTACCAGTTCCAGTCATACTGAACTTTGAAGCTGAATGTCTCAGGACCAGTCTCATACAAGAAGAAAATGAATCATTGCGGCATAAGGTCAGAACTGAGATCACTCTTTAGCTGCTGACTGTGTGATGTGAGTTT